ATTTTCTCCTCTCCTATTGACGCTTGTTGGTCGGTGCGAGGTGCATTCTGGGTTACCTGGTTATCTCAAGTCCACACAAGTCACCTCTCGATGCATCCTCGGTAAACGGGGCGGATCAAGAACACATCCGGGGATTTGAAGTGGACTTGGCTAGATGTGAACTTTGAATTGGAACAGTACTTCGGCAGCGACTGATGACGTTTCACAACTCCACAAGAACACAAGTACAGACAAGTACGCATATTGAGAAACGGCTACAGTCTTTGACCTAGGCCTGGATCTGTGTCACTGAAGTTTGGCCTTTATGAGAAAGCTGAACTCCAAGCACTACAAAGGAATGCTTAAAGACATTTGAACCAGTTCTCAGTTTTTTGTTTTGTACTTTATATTTTATTTGCAATAAATATCCACAAACATTCAAACAACACCACTCTTGGATTTTCTTAGATTCGGGCTGTGAGTCTGACCCGGTACTCGCATTCTCCAGGTGGTTGGAAACATTAACAGGGGGTTACAGGAAAAACCCAACAATGATTTTGCCACTACACAATTGCAGCATGTTTCATGGCAAGTGAGCATACATGCACTCTGAAATTTGAACGGCTATAACTCTGGGACCAAGCTGCCCAGATGCACCAAACTACGGTCAAAGTAGGGTCCCTAGGGGCCCTCTCCAACGAGCCCTAGCCCGAGGCTCTAGCACCCCCACGGGCCGAGATAATGGGAAATAACCCCTATCCCGTGCGAATCAAGTCACGATTCGTCAAATCGAGGGTAGTCCTTAAAGGCCCACTCCTCACCAAGTCTGTAGGAGAGTGGGCATTCCACGAGCTCCTACGATCCCTCGGGGCCATTATGCACCCAATGGCAGCTCATTAATATGGGCTTTTGTCCACGAACCCCCGGTTTGGACTAGTGTAATTCACTTTACAGTGCAAAAGATCAGTAATGAAAACTACAAAAAAGAACTTTACTATATTTTTACTGTATTTCATAATTTGGTCTGCTTCTGTGTCTGCAATAATGAAATGACATGTAAACCATTAGCTGTCATGCATCAACAGAGAATTATCAATATTTATAGCATTTATTCATCTTGGTTTGGTTACTGTTTGAGTTTGGGTTCAGATTATGCATATAACGCATTGCAAAAAGTAATGTTAAGATGCTAAACATCTATTAGTATATTATATTTTTAGGTTATTTTATTACTGATTGATCTAGATTAATAAATGCTATATTGTTAGGCCAGGTTGCATAATGAATGTTGACAAATGTAGCTTAATTGTAGGCTAAGATTAGTAATTCATATTACTCTCTCTCTCTCTCTCTCTCTCTCTATCTATCTAATATGTTGGTTTGAAAGTGCAAAAATTATGAGAACTAAACTTGCGTGTCATGCAAGAAGATTTGATCTCTCGTGTTTACCGTATATTTAATTGATAACCTCTTATCTGCGCTGTTCAGTGTTCAATAAAAGACTAAATTAAATCAGTTGAATGAACAACTCACCTGTCGATCTCTGAACTCTTTCAACGAGTCAGGATAAGCAACTGACGAGCGCTTCGGCTGATTTGAAGTGTTGCCTCCCATTGCAACACTTTATTGAAAGCAACGTTTGCAGAGGGGTGCATTGAGGTCTGTTTCTTTACTTTCTCATTACTTTTGTAGGCAAAGTAATGGCTTATTTCACTCGTACTGCTCTCTCTATTTATTAATTTCGGTTGTGTAAAAATTCGAATGAGCTTCGTTTGATCCACCGTGTTCCTTCGTTATCCGGTTTCGCGTGACCCGCGTCAGTTTGGGTAGCGCACTGCCGCCTAGTGGAGAACTTCGGAACAGCAGCGCATTAAATACCGAATTTAACAAAATGATATTGTACCATTTGAAACTCATTATATACCGGTATTTTTGCAGTACCGGTATACCGTACATTCCTAGATCCGACCTCGAACAGACCTAACTTCTTCTTCTTTCTGAGTTGTATGGTGGTTGGAACAGACCCAACTGCCAAAGAACTGCACATTTTTGGACTAAACCATGCTACCGTGTAGTCAGCTGTGCTGTGGATTATGGGATGAGGACTAATGTTTGTTGACAGTTTACACGGACAAACTTGGAGTTGTCAGAAGGTGCAGCCTCATTGAAATTTGGTCTGATGACCATTAGGTCCCACTTCTAACTTTTGAAAACTCAAAGAACAGTCTTTGAAACAGTCAAAGAAATCTTTGTTTAGCAAACAGCACAGGGAAAGGGAGGTTTCATAGATCTGTGGATAGAGTTTTCCCGCATGTTAATTCTGACCAATCTAAGTGCCAAAAAGTGATATTGATGTTGTCATGTGACTGCATTTTGGTTTGTTTCATCAACTCATCAACTGATTCGGGTCAGAGCAATCATTGTGGTCTGAAAAGAAACCAAAATGCCTGAAAATGCTATGATAGGTTATCATTTTTCGCCCTTGGTCAGGACCAAATGAACCGGAAAACATGTGAAAGCACCCTAGATTTCAACAATCAGTTCATTTTTGTGTTCCAAAGTTGACTTGATTTTGTCCATGGGCAATTAGTTGGATCGCTGGATGGTTGGTTTGCTGCTGTGATGCATGAGTGATAGGTTATCCTGTCTCCTGCCAGTAAATATCTCTAAGGGAGAGAGTGAGAGGATTGTTTATTTATAATTCATAATAATTACAGCAATATTCCATTAAAAAAATAAAAATATCTTTGATTTCAGTGACTTTAAAAAGCACCCTCTACCTGATACTCCCATTCTCCAGTCATTTCTTCAATTAATTATAACATGATGTTTTAAGAAATAAAAACAGAGTCTTGAAAACATATTTTGTGAAACTAGATAGGGCGTTGCTAGACATAAAGCTCTACTGGGGCACAGGTCCCCCATTTTTTTGTCTGGGATAGCAACAGTAGCTAAGGAAGGCAGGGCTTGCCGAAAGGTCAATTGCTATTAATGATACATTGCTATCACACATGATGGAACATAGTAGTACAGAACACAACAATGTGTTTATTTTATGTGCTACAGTGCTGAAGGCTGGGAAGATTGTTTTAAAAACACCAGGCTTTTAGTTCTGAAAGTTAGGGGGGTTCGGGGGAATTATCCCCCGAGAAAATTTTGATTTCTCTGACCTTCATATGTGCATTTAAAGGTGTTTCAAGGCCAAACAATTGGATAACAATTAAAACTATGTTAGTGGACAGCAGTAGCATACATGATTTGTCAAGCAGATAACAGATTGTTAAACATGAGAATAAGGATAAATGTAATGAATGATACACACTACAAAATGTGATTGTCATCATTCAAAACTATTTTAACTCTTCAAAAAAAATTATTTTTGCATAGTAACTCTGCACACAAACATAAAATGATTAGCCCACATACACACCAAACTATACACAGATATGAATTATGTAAAACACTTTATTATTTGTATTATTTACCAACTTTTGTTTCATCATGTTTTCATTCATAGTCTACCTAGTTTTCATAGCCTAGCCTAATAGCAGGGGGCGTAGCCATCATTTTAAAAGTGAGGGGGACAGAATGTCAAGTGTATGCAGTTTTTTTATTTCTTCAGACTTTTGTTAACAGATTTTTGCTTAATTGGCTTAATATGCTATTTATTTTTAAAGCAATAAAACAGAAATAAATAAAGAAAGTTGTACTGTCCAGTACTTTACTGTATACTGCACATGCAGGGTTTTTCCTGGCTTAAAATGAGGCGGAGATGGTAAAATCCTGATCATGTATTTTAATAAGATAATAAAATGTGTATTTTTCGTAGACCATCATAGTCTGCTCTGTTACCCACAGTATTTTTGTTGGTGGATCTCGGAACCTCAGGGGGGTCAGGGGGCATGCTCCCCCATGAGAAAATTTTGTACATTTTAAAGATAAATTAATTAATTTGGTGCACTTTGAGTCCCCCGAATCTGCTGTTAAAAATAATAAATCCAACAAATCTGCTGTTAAAAATAAAATAATCCTGCCCAAACAAATGATATTCTCTGATTTAGATATCTGATTTATATAAAATGATCAGTGTTAAGCATGATAATATGGTTAAATATCACACTGAACCAGTTTTAAAAATAACATTTACTTAAAATAAAAGTTCTTCTTTTGGCAAAATTACATTTTGTTACTATGCCTTACTGAAATTTCCCAATTGAAAACCTTCAAACTTCAAGCTTTTAAAACTACTTCAAATTTTCTAGTTAGGCTTTTCCAAAAAAGGTTTGTGGACAAATTAAGTTATCTAATTGTAAAGTGTTAACAAATTATGATAAACATGTACAGATATTACAATTCTGCCTGATTCAAGCAGATAGTGGCTGTTAATGCATGAAAATATAAATTGCACTAATATTCACCATGTTTATTCTAATTTGAAGGGCTTTGATAACATATCTGTGAAAATAAAATGCATTACGAGTAAAAAAAAGAATGAAAAATGTATTGCCTGTTTGTTCGGGTAGTGAATTTACAACAAAGCCTGTTAATTATTCAACAAGAGAAAGGCGTAGTTATTCATCATTGTGCAACACAATTCGGATACTACATGACAACTTACTTACAGTGCTTGACTTTTTCGTGAACAATGAGTTTTTGCCAACTCAATCATTGAAAATGGATTCGGCGCGGGTGCGAACATTCTCAAGGTCTCAAGCATAGACCCTCAAGTCGTGTTGTTATGGAAGCTTGTTTCCGCCACTGAATAAAAAAATATAATAAATAATTGTGACTTTTTATGTCACAATTCATAGAAACAAGCTTCCATAGGAAAAGATACTTTTTTCAAAAACATTCAAAAAAGTAATGTTTCGAGACTTAGTGTGTGTAGGCTACAGTACAACAACCAACAGGAGATACAAACATTAAAAGTTTCCGATAATTCGCATCTTTTATTTTGTAAAAAAAAAAAAAAAAAAAAAATGAACTGAACTTCCTGTTTGTTTTTGGAAGGCTAACGCTGGCTTCACATCGCTACTGAACACGGAATCAGATAGACAGCTGCTGCTGGCTGCTCACCCTCAAACTGGCCACAAATCGCACTTATGAGCTTGGCTGAAAATAAAAGGAGATAAATAATCAAGTTTCTGCTGAACGCTTCGCGTTAAAAGTCTTGTTGCAGCACTGTTAGGTCTCCTTATAAAACAGTGGTGAGGTTGCTAACAGCTGATTGCTAGCTAGAGCTGGTGATCATAACCTCAAACAGCAACATCACCATCTCTCCACATGCTGCTGATCACTAAACGACTCAATTCTTCTCCATTTGGTCCATGATGTCTCTCAACAACCGCTGTTAAGATCATAGCATAGCTCCTGGTACTCTCCTGTGAGTGTTACAGCCAGTCTGCTGTAGATTGCCCATTGTTTGATGTGTTCATGGAGCTTTTCTTCTGTTTTTACCTCCTTGAGCTGTTGTTTTGTTTATGATAGTTTATATTTACATGTAATGTGAAAGTGACACCCTCGTTCTTTGTCTCATAGATGTTTACTGCTGTATTTATTCTTTACACAAGAGTAGTGATGATTGTGTGTTGATGCCTCCAACAAGAGGACCAGGACAGAGGGAGTGAGCTTATTACCTTCCCTTGGTGGATCTCTCACTCTTCTGGACATGATGGGCCCCCAGCGGAAGGTCACCAGGACTCATGGTTTGGTGGGAGGAACATTTAGCTCTCTTGGGCATGAGGAACCCAAAGACTACATCAATGAGCTTTCACATGAGGTGCTTTGCCACATATTCCGGTCAGTACAGCACCCCAACACCCCACCACTAGTTAGTGCAATAGTTAGCTCTACCGTATTAGCAATGCAAGTACTATCTGTTCTCCTAACTGCTAATTATGATGCATAACTTTATCTCCCCTCAGATACTTACCCATGCAGGACATAATGTGTATGGAGTGTCTTTCACGGAAACTGCGGGAAGCGGTGACTCTGTACTTGCGGGTGGTGAAGGTGGTGGACCTTTGTGCCAGCCGGTGGTGGGAGTACATGCCCTCAGGTAGATGGTACTGTTCATTTTCCTGCTCTGTGTCAAATTTCACTTGTGAGAGATCTGGTTATAACTAAACCTGGAATAAATGTGTAGTCCATATAATGAAGTATCATACTCCTGTACAAACACTGATCTACTCAGCAGGTTTCTGGCAGATTTGAAAGATTTCACATCCCTCTACCCTGCATGTTTAATGTATTAAAACATTTTATTAGGCTTTTACAGTGTATTAATCTCAGCTCAACATGATTTACCATAGCCCTCTTAAATTTAGTGGTTGAATCGTTGATGTTGATATCTAGAGAGCTAGATGGTCAGTGGCTGATGTTATGCCAAAATAATACAATTCTAATAAAAAATAAGAAGACTGTCATGCTCACTAAGGCTGCATTGGTGATCAAAAATACAGTAAAACAGTGATATTGTGGAACTATTATTATAATTCAAAATAACTGATACCTTTTTTTAAATATTTAAATATACAATTTATTCCTGTGATCCCCAAAGCTGAGTACTACTGCAGTCTACATTGTCATATGATCCTTCAGAAATACGTCTAACATGCTGATTTGGTGCTCATGCAATGTTTCTTATTATTAGCAATGTTAAAGACAGTTGTGCTGCTTAATAGGTTTCTGGAAACTGTGATTAGTTTTATTTTTTAAATTTTTTTTCATAATTCATACATTTCTAAAGAGCAGCGTACATTCAAAATATAAATACAGTGAAACGTTTTAAATGTATTTACTGACTTTTTTGTATAAATTGAATGTCCATTGCTGAATAAAAGTATTAATTTAATTCAAAACATTTCTGACCCCAAACTTTTGAATGGTTGTGTGTATTACCAGTGTAACATTAATTTAATTATAAAAAATAGATGTATAAAATAAATATTTTTAATTGATTATATTGAGTTTTGGTATCTATATAATGAGAAACTTAGGTTAGTCAGATTGATTTTCAGTCAATGCCAGACATGATTTGTTCAAGTTGGCCAATTAATAAACATGGCAGATATATTGGTCTTTTGCTATATGTATTATTTAAAGCTTCCTTGTTTTGAATGGTAGTCCAACACTGCATCCGAAATCAAATACTTCCCTACTATATAGTATGAAATGATGAAAAGCCCAGGATGACCTACTGCTTCTGTCGAGATTCTCAAGTGTGCATTCGATGGACACTTTAATGTTCCATGAAGATTTATGAAATGACAGTGAAGCGACTCAACTGACGGTGGTTGGTCATGTCGCAGTAACAACATGGTGGATGTAGTACATCCGAATGTCATTCATACTACCCATATTCGTACCATACAGAGCGTACTTTTTACAACGATAGTGAAGTAAATTCAAATTCAAATGTAGTACCTACTCAGATTAGTACACGATTTCGGAGTCAAGTCTGTAAATCCAAGAAGTCCTAAAGACGTTTACTAGTCCTAAAGCCATGAAATGTAATACTTATGTAATTTCTTTGTCATTCCTAATTGCTGTGGTTTGAACTGTCATGTGTATGTAACTTAGGTTTCACAGACTCCAGTTTCCTCATGCTGATGAAGAAGATGCCTGACTTGGAGCAGCTGTATGGTCTTCATCCACGTTATCTAGAGAGAAGGAGGGTCAGAGGTTATGAGGCCTTCAGTATTCCTGGTGTTTTGGAGGCTCTACAGGCCTGTCCCAACCTTATAGTGAGTTCATGTTAGAGATAATTGTTATTTCAGTTTATGGAATTGGAAGTGTCTGTTTTCTACTACAGTAGAAAATGATAACAATATCTGCATTTATAGGGAGTTGAGACATCCCATTTGGAGCTGGTGGAGGCCGTATGGAATTACATGCCTCAGGTTCACATTTTAGGGAAGTTTAGGAACCGAAACGGGGCCTTTCCTATTCCTTCAGAGAACAAACTCACCATTCCAGCTGCTGCTAAAATCCAGACCCTCCATCTTGTTGGTGAGTTTCAGATTGCCCCATTGTGCAAACCTTTTTCCCCATCATGTATCAGCTGCTTGGTCAAATTTTTTCTCAAACCTTTCTGTTTGAACTTTCCTCTAGGTGTCAATGTGCCCGAGATCCCATGTCTATCCATGCTCAGGCATCTGTACCTGAAGTGGGTGCGCCTCACTAAGCCTCAGCCCTTCAAAGACTTTCTCTGTGTGAACTTGCGTACGTTTGTCATGAGGAATTGCGCCGGTCCCACCAATTCTCTTAAATATGTGCCTCTTGTCACTGGTCTGGCCTCCGCCCGCAACTTGGAGCAGCTGGAGCTGGTGAGGGTGCCCTTCTTAGGGGGACTGATTCAGCATGTGGTGGAGGATAGCTGGAGGTCAGGTAACCACAACATTTTGCCAGCTCCTTATAAATAGGAGGCATTTTAAAATGACTGAATAATATATTGATGTATTGTAAAATATTTTTCATTGTCCATTTGTATGAAATACCTGTATTGTTTTGTCTACAAAGTTTGAGCAAGAAATGAGTATGCAGTGTCCACTACTAAAAGAATGTTTCTTCTAGGAGGGTTTCGTAATTTGCACACAATTGTTTTTGGTGCCTGTAAAAATGCACTTGAGGTGGATCTTGGCTACCTCATCATTACTGCTGCTCGCAGGTAAATCTATATTTTTTTAAGAATATCATAAACTTACATTGACTTCTGTATTCGCATTAAAGACATTGACAGAATCTACTTTGGTTGTACAGGTTGCATGAAGTTCGAATCCAGCCTTCTTTAACCAAAGATGGGGTGTTTTCTGCACTGAAGATGGCAGAACTGGAGTTCCCCCAGTTTGAGACTTTGCACCTTGGATATGTTGATGAATTTCTATTGCAATGTAAGTCATTGTTATATAATGTGAATGATCATATCTTGCTGTCAGGAGCATCATGGATGCAGATGTTACTGTAAACAGTTTGGATGTAAAATTGTCAAAGTGTTTAGCTTATGTCTTTATAAGCATGGACATAGCTGGCTATGAATTCACAGAGGCAAATTAATAAACTTGTCTAATTTTGCCATTTTTTAAATTTGAAAATAAGCCTAAGAGTCATTTAATGTAAAAAATGTGCAACTATAAATGAGAGGGAGCAAGAAACATTAACACAGTTAATATAGTTTTTTATAAAGCAAGCCGTTTTCATCATATTTAGGCATAAGAGTAACAATGAATGTGTACGCATTGTGAATGAATTTAATAATCTTAGTTATCTAGCTTTCCCAGTAGCAGCTTTCATTGCAGTACATGAGATCAGGGGGCGGAGATGTGTAGGTTTAGGGGTGGGGATAGGGATCAGGGGGTGGAGATGGGTAGGATTAGAGGTGGGGTTAGGAATCAGGGGGTGGAAATGTGTAGGTTTAGGGGTGAGGTTAGGGATCTGGTGCTGAAGATGTGTTATTGAATTATTGCATTATATAACTTTGAAGTTATCTGTTGCCATCTTTAAAGGGGTATTTCAGCCCAAAATGTTTATTGTCATCACATCATCATGTCCTTCCAACCTCGCAAGACTTTCATTCACTTTCAAAACACAAATGAATGTTTTTTTAAAGGAATCCTGAGAGATATTCTGTATGTTCCTCCATTGAAAGACCATTCGACCAAAACATTCAAGCATCAAAAAGTTCTTACAGACATCATAAAATTGTCAAGCAAGCATGCATATTTGATGTGTACTGTGTGTTTGTTTATCAATGCCTCAAATGAAATGATGCATGCCTAAATGAAATCTGTTTATCATATAAAGTGATCATGTCTCTTCAGAAGAATTGGATTAAACTGCTCGATTCATATGGATTAATTTTATGTCTTCATTTCCCCTAAACATTGATGCTTCAAAAAGTTTATAGTCTTTCAACAGAGGGGTAGAAATATGTCAGGTTTCATTAAAAATATCTTGATTTGTATTTCTAAAATGATGAAAGTTTAATGAATTTTTGTGGAAACTAACCCTTCATTTACCTCCAATGAAACATGTTTCACACAGGTAACATGAGCCATGCCGAGTTAGTCAAATACGGTCTTGCTGATGTTATCGAAAATCCAGGAATCATCACAGACATTGGAATGAAGGCTGTTAATGAAGTGTTCACCTCCATCAAGTATTTGGTCATTTATAACTGTCCACATCTACACAACCCACACAACTGGATCACAGGTAATGAATTCACCATCATTTATTTATGTACTTCCTGAGCTAATGATGGAACTCAAACTATTTTATTTAAAATGTACCATTTCTATCATCAATATCTAGAAAGTCCTCAACTTTACAGTTGATTTCACTATTAGTGTTTTTTAATCTGACTGATAAGCCACTCTTTGTTAAAGACCACTCGCGCTGGAGTCGGTTGGTGGACATCACTCTGGTGCGCTGTCACGCTATCAAGCTGGAGTCGTTCAGTCAATTCATTGAAATGCTTCCCAGCCTGGAATTCATCTCTCTGGATCAGATGTTTCGTGAACCTCCCAAGGTGAGCATGGGAGCCCATGAAAACAGAGTTGACGGTGATATGCTTTGTTATACTGTCATTTGGATATCATTACCATTTGTGGTAAACGGACAGTTCAAGGTCTTTCCGCCGATATGAACCTTAGCTGATCACAATACGTGTATTTTTGAATGGTAAAGAAATTGTAATGTGAATGAAAATGGCTATAATATAATATCGACTGTGCTATAGGAGTCATATTCATGTCATTTGTTTACTGCAGGGCTGTGCCCGTGTGGGGCTCAGTGCGGGCACGGGTATCGGGGTATCATCTGCCCTGGTCAGCAATCAGAATTCCAACAATGACAATGACAACAATAACAACAACAATCACCAGAACAATAATGATGCAAACATTCCACCAAATAACAACAACAACCAGGTTGAAGATGTGCCTCAGCAAAACCACCGTGGCCCAGAGGGTATGTATGCCTTTGAAAAAATGTTGGGGTCTGAAAGTTTATATATATATATATATATATATATATATACAGAAATGAATACTTTCATTCAGCAGGGATGCATTAAGTTTATTATAATTGATAGTACAGACATTTATAATGTCACAAAGAACTCTTTGGTTCTTTTTAACTTTCTGTTCATCAAAGGTTACGGCACCAAATCAGTGTTTTAGAATGATTTCTGAAGGGTCGTGTGACTGAAGACTGGAGTCATGATTCTGAAAATGTTGTTTTGCCATCACAAAAATAAAGTACATTTTAAAATGTTCAAATCGAAAAATCAGTTTTAATATTTCACAAAGTCACTATTTTTACTGTATTCTTTATCAAATTAATACTGCCTTATTGAGTATAAGAGACTTCTTTCAAAAATATGATAAAAATCTTACTGACTGCAAACTTTTGAACCTCTAGTGTTTTTTGCTTTTGAAAGTTTTGAATTGCCTTTTCTGTCTTTAATCAGAGATTCCCAATGTTGAGGGCATGGTGGCAGACAACATGGAGCCTGAGCCGGTTCTTGTGGCCGTCAATCAAGAGGAAGAGACCCAGGGTTCCAGCCAGACTACTAATCCTTCGCATGAACAGGATGAGGAACAAGCAGGTCTGAAGAAACCCTGTAAATAATTTTAACAGATAGGTTACATTTAATAATTAACCAATAATATTTTTATTTATTTATTGCTTTCTCTTTTATGATTTATTTTAGGCCCTAGCGGAGTTCAAACCGCAGTGAAGAAGCAGTCGGTGGTGGTGTCTGACTCAGACAGTGAGGATGAGTACAGTCCAATCAGGACGCCAGCTGCCGCCCGCTCTCAAGGCCAGTACCCTGTGACAGAATCCCAAGGGAAGAGCAGCACAGCTGTGAATCCACATGGTAGTTAACATTTAAAGTCCTCATAGCCACTGCAGCGGTTCATAGCTCAGGAACATTTCATATTATTCCAACATGTGTGAAGTAAAAAAGTGTTTAAATAATTTTGAGACCAGGGAGCTCCTGACTATCCACGCTGAAGCTGAGATCGTAAAATGTTTTCGACACATGTTACACGTCACATCCTGGCGTCACGATTTTTACGAGATGTGTGTGAACGCCCTCACAGATTCTAAAATAAAATCACTGGCAGTGTAAATGAACCAAAATCAAACGATTCCGGGACACATTATCTGTGTATTTTCTGGAATCGCTGTGTGAAAGGGGCTTTATTTTGTTGGTTTATTTCTGTGAAACTGCGCAGAAAACACCTGTACTGTGTAAAGCACTATACAAATAAATGTGATATGACCTAAATAAAATGAAAAAAAATTGGAAGAATTATCAATAAACAGCAGTTAGTTCTCAGCTGCGAGGAACATTGTTCAGTTTGACTAAGTGCTGTCCTCCTGTATTGCCCTGTTTAATTAACCAACAGGCTGAAGGATACCGAGGCCATGTTTACACCTGGTATTAAGATGTGTTTTGGTTGAATGGAGTGGTGGATGCTAAATACAGGTGTAAATGGTGTCTGTAAAGTCTGCGCTGAACAAATCTCATCTTGATGGCTAACTTATACTGAAATGATTGTTCTGCTGTATTCTGGCAGGTAAAGGAAAAACTCCGCTGCGTAAACGTGGACCGCACCCTCAAGAGTTCAGCTGTGAGAAAGGCTGCCAGGTAACCAGTGAGCAGATCAAGGCTGACATGAAGGCAACCACTGAGACGGCCAGAGACAGAAACAGTGGAACTGTGCCTGCTTCAGGCCACGCTACCGGCAGCTGTGTTTGCTCCATCCGCTGGAGGGAGGACTCGGCTAATCAGGACGACCAGGGTGTGGCAGGTAGAGGGGACGATGATATGGTAAGGACTCGCTGCACGTGCAGCAGGTCTCGTCCCGGCTCTGAAAATAGGACTCGTTATGGCCACCGCCTCCCAGCGGGGGACGAGAACCACAGACCAGAACGTCACAGCCCAGAGCAAAGAGCAGGGGAAGATGAGACGGAGAACAGGCACTCCAACGCTCCACCCAGGACACACAGTTCATCTGAAGGGCTTAGTGAGAGGACTGCAAGCCACCAGCAAGGCTCGTCACACAGAAGCCCTACAGACGAGTTCCCCAGGAGACCTGTCACTCGTGCCCGCAGCAGACTTTCCTCTGTGCCCTTGGTTTGTGAGTCAGGTAGGACAAGAGGTTCCGTACTGTGGGAATTCAAAAAGTCTTTTGAGCAATGGAAAAAAGCACAGTTGGGCAAAGGCTGCAAATCCTCGGCTATGCCATTTGTGCATAGCATAAAAGCAGATGGAGGAATGCTGGGGGTCTGGATTACTCCACTGCTAGTCTATATTGGCAACTATACTGCAGGAATTGTTAACACTTTTTCAGGCACCTTTGTGAAAAAATATAGCAGATTTATGCAATAGGTTTTTCTAAGCTTGAAGTATAATATGTGACTGCAATATAAGATTCAAAATTCTGTCATCATTTACTCACCCTCAAGTTGTTTCAAACCTGTATGAGTTTCTTTCTTCTGCTGAACACAAAGGAAGATATTTTGAAGAACAATTGGAACCAAACAGTTGTTTGCCACCATTGACTTCAATAGTAGAAAAAAATCACTATGGAAGTCAGTGGTGCCTCACAACTGTTTGGTTCCAATCGTTCTTCAAAATATCTTCCTTTGTATTCAGCAGAAGAAAGAATGAACACATTGAGGTTTGCTACAAATTGAGGGTGAGCAAAGGATGACAGAATTTTCATTTTTGGGTGGAGTATCCCTTTATTTTCTACTATTTCTCATCACTTTTTCATCTGTTCAGAACTGCCCAAAGCAAAGCCTCGGGCTGCGGTAAAGAGAAAACGTATGGCAGACAAATCCACCAGCACCAGTGACCCTGTAACTGAAGACGACCATGTGCAGGTGTGTTCATAGTCTGGTTCACTCAATTATACGTTTCCTTAACGCAGAACACAAGTGTCCAAGAATCTGTTCATATATAGTTGGGGCCACTCTTTATGTGCAAAACACACTTTTTCTTTTTTTTTTTTTTTCACATCATACAGGTGCTCAGCCTTAAATCCAAAAACCTGGTGGGAATCACACTTACAAACTGTGGCATCACAGACCTGGTCCTTAAGGAGTGCCCGAAAATGATGTTTGTCCATGGTGCGTTTATAACAAAACACGTTGATATTGACATGCATGTCAAACTGTATCAGTAATCTGTGTAATTTGACTCTTTCTTCCCAAGCGACACGCTGTAGGGTGCTAAAACACTTGATGGTGGAAAGTGCCCCCATAGTGAACCGCTTTGACTACGCACAATGTAAGAAGTTGGATATGGAGCAGGTGCTTGACCAGATCTTACGGATGCCCGCGGAGAGAAACCGCATCATCTACATGAGACCTATGCAGCAGGTCAGTGGTATCCTTTGGTTGCCAGGACAGTAAAGAAAGCAAGGATGCATTAAATTGATTAAAAGTACAGTAGAATATTACAAATTATTTCCATTGCAAATAAATGCTGTTGTTTTCAACTATGTATTTGTCAAAGAATCCTTCAAAAATTGTTTCCTGAGCAGCAAATCAGCATATTAGAGTGATTTCTGAAGGACCATGTTACATAAAGACTGGAGTAATGATGCTGACAATTCAGCAAATTTTAAATTGTACTAATATTTCACACTTTTAGTGTTTTTACTTTATTACTGTAATGTAAAATGCTAATGTTTTGCACTGTATGTAACAAATTTCCAGAAAACTTTACTATAGTGTTACATTACATCTTTTAAGCCCTTTAAAATGTATTTGTGGTATTTAAGAGGATATTAAAACTGCCCCATGATTTACTCACCCTCAAGCCATCCTAGGTGTATATGACTTTCTTCTTTCAGACGAATACAATTGGAGATATATTAAAAAAAAATTCCTGGCTCTTCCAAGCTTTATAATGGGCCATTTTAGTTTATAACGTTTTAAATATGGTTTTATTTTCCTCACACAAACACTGGGCTTCACTTCAGAAGGCCTTTATTAACTACCCGGAGCCATGTGGAATACGTTTATGATAGATGGGTGCACTTTTTTGGGCTTCAAAATTCCGTCCTCTTGCAATTATAAAGCTTGGAGGAGCCAGGACCTTTTTTTAATATATCTCCAAATTTATTTGTCTGAAAAAAGTAAGTCATACACACCTAGGATGGCTTGAGGGTAAGTAATTCATGGGGTAGATATATTTTTTAGGTGAACTATCCCTTTAAAGCACAATATGTTACACTTATGTTCTTTTCAACATTAATCTCCAGATCGATTCTCTGGCTCTGGAGAAAAAGCTCTTCAGTGGTCCGTACCCATACCACATTGCTATTATCCATGAGTTCAGCAACCCACCCAATGTTAGGAACAAGGTGCGCGTACGTAGCTGGATGGACACCATTGCCAACATTAGCCAGTGAGTGTACTACATTATCCATACAGTACTGGTAAAAGTAAGACTTCTTAAAAATCACTGTTTTGCTTCAGAAGTAAGAATATTTCAGTTTTAGCCGATTGATATAGACCAAGAATAAAATCCTTGTCTTGTGTATATCATCTCTGCATTTGAAAAGTAATAATAATGTGTCTTTTTTTGTGACTTGTTTCATTACAATTTGATTCTGCTTAAGTTAAGCTGACTTTCCAAATGGTTAATTTGATTATATAAAACATAGCCATTATGTGACTGTGACTTAAAAATGGAGATTGGTCTAATTTGATGCTAAAAATTAACACTGATTTCCCCTCGACTACCCGCTAGTTGGTCGTACAAGTATTTATGTAACTGATTTAAGAACAGTCTTAAAGAAGAAAAAACGTGATGACTAACTTGTAAGACTAGTCTTTGCAGTTTATGCAACTGGCCCCTGCTTTGTCCACCAGATGGCAATATTTTCTCATCATGGTATACCCAAAAGCTCACCAATCTTTGCTTTTGTCCTTTACAAGAGAACTCATCAAGTATGAATTCTTTCCGGAGGCCACACGGACGGAAGAGGATGTAAAGGAGTATCCCAGCTATCCCTGGGGCCGAGACATCTACACATTAGAGGGTGAGAGGAAACAGATCAGGGTCCTTTGAGACTAGCTCCAAGTTCCCCTCACTTCCTCTGGAAACACAGTTATAGTGGAGTGTGTGTGTGAGAGAGAGATTTTACAATTGCACTTAACATCCCTTACATAAAGCTATAAATGATCTAAATGTTTACAAGATCACATTCAGTTTTAATTAAAGGAATGAAAAAATAATGGCTTTCCCACACTCCCTGTGCTTTAGGAGTAGTAGATGGGGCGCCATACTCAATGATCACAGATTTCCCATGGCTTCGCTCTTTACGCACTGCAGAGCCCAACAGTTATGCTCGATACGACTTTGAGGATGATGAAAGCAGTAAGTAACACACTGTCCATGATAAAATAGTGAAGTTCAGGTGTTATTATTCATCACAAAACAATGATTCAAATGCTGATGATTCCTAGCTATGGCACAGCTGTTAAAGGGATAACTTAGTTCACCCAAAAATGAAAATTCTGTCAGTATTTACTCACCCTTGTGTTGTTCCAACCCCGTAAGACCTTCGTTCATCTTCTGAACACAAATGAAGATATTTTTGATGAAATCTGAGAGCTGGATCACTCCTGCATACTAGTCCATAGGCTTCTTGAGGGATTGAAACTTGCCGGCCTTGAAAAGTTATTAAAGACATTGTTAAAATAGTCCAACTGTCTACAGTGGCTCAATCTTAAGTTTATCAAACGACAAGAAAACTTTTTTTGCACAAAAACAAACATAAATAACGAAATCCCGTCACTTTACCGTCACTTTTGATCAATTTAATTAATCTTTGTTGAATAAATGTTGTTGTTTTTTAAATACTGACGGCAAATTTTTAACTGTGTATATTTATTCCAATTTTACCACTTTTCCTTCTAATTTGTCCCTCAGTTTTAAAACGAAAAAATCACAGTATAAACTAACTTACTCTCGTCCACTCTGAAATGTTTCTTTCCGTCAGCTACTATCTATGCGCCACGACGTAAGGGGCAGCTCTCGGCCGACATCTGCATGGAGACGATCGGCGAGGAGATCTCAGAGCGACGGCAGACACGTAGGGGTGTTTTCCAGCGTGTGGTGGTCGTCTTCATCCACTACTGTGACGCCCGGGGGGAACCGGTGGATGACGACTACATCTAGAATGATGACTGCTCAGCTGGAGGCCCTGGAGGTGCTGGAGAGAGGGTGGAGAGCTCCTCAGCCCTCTACCAGCCTCTGTGTGAGAAGAGAACCCCTCAGTGGTGAATACCAAGGCATTTCCAGTTGCCTTTATCTCTGAGTTGACTTGAAACAAAGAGCAATCGCTTTCAATCGGCCATTGACTTTTTCTAGAGTAATAAACTGTAGAGTAATGGTGTCACCAGGTTGCTTGTGTTCATTACATGAAGGATGAATTGCAAGCCTTCCATGGACCGGCAGCACATTTGTAGTAAATAGGGGTGATGGTGTCAGCAGTTGCTTTGTTGCTATTGGTTGTGCGCATGGGAAAAGATATGCAGAGTCACAAAAGGTGGCATATAAAATCACTTGTTTGGTGAAGACAGACTGAAAGTGTTTGGTAGATTTTTATTTATTTATTTTTTTCAAACCCAGGCAGGTTGTTTTGGCCATTTGCCATAATATCCCGGTGTGTATCTGCACAGGCAATAACATCGTTCTAGATTTGTTTTAGTTTTTTTTGCTCCTCATACCTTTTCAAAGACTTTTTTTTAATTATTTTTTTTTTTAGAATTTCGTATTATTTTTGTTTTCCTCTTACCTTTTGCCTAGAGGTTGGCTTGTGTGTTCTGCACTATTAACAGTGTTGATGTCAGTTTAATCCAGAACCTGGTGAAGAGATTCAGTGTTTCTTGGCCCATGAGGGGAACGTGGCAGAATCGGTGAATAAATGTACCACGTTTTACTTTCCTGTAGTCTTCATAGAGCTAAAAACAAACAAATTGTGCAACAAAGACAAGTTAGGAGTATTTTAAGCCCACATGATTTTTGTTTTTCCCTTTATTCAGACTGGAACTCCAGTAGAATAGTTTTAAATAAGAAGCACAGTGGATAAAGTTGCCAGGCATATCCCTTATTCATCTTCAGATGACTTGACCCACATTTCCTTCTCCTCACTAACTTGCACTCTTCATTTTGGTGAAGCATCTTCAAAAATGGCCCTGTGCCATTAACCTGCATTATAACCTACACTAGAGAATAATAGTTAGCATTATGGATTGTTTCTTTCCTCTTTCTTGCCTAGTTCTTTACATAGTTGTTTAAACATTTAAAATCAACAAATGGAAATAAAATGCACAATGTGTATTAACTGTCTCCTTGGTGCAGGATGGATTTCACCAACTCATGTTCGTAAAGAGTAGTTTGGGAAACTAGTCTAATTAAGAGAGGGTTGCAAGTTGCAAGCTATTGATGCACAAAAACACCATCTCGCTACTCTACTTTGTGCTTTTCTGCGAGACCCACTCTGCCATGTTTCAAGAGCCAAGAAATTCCATGGATTGAATCTGCACACATACCTAGCACTGCAGAAACTTGTGTATAAAGTTTGTGTACAAATATTCTGTATTTAAATGATCTTCCAAAATTTGTTTTATATGTTTATATAAAAGAATAAATATTTCACCAAGACATTCTGTCATGGCTATTTTTGATTTATCTTATCTCGTATTGTTTATATCTTATGTATAATAATATAACTGTATTAGATACAGTGGGGAGAACAAGTATTTGATACACTGCTGATTTTGGAGGCTATCCCACTTACAAAGCATGGAGAAGTCTGTCATTTTTATCATAGGTACTCTTCAACTGTGAGTGATGGAATCTAAAACAAAAATCCAGAAAATCACTTTGTATGATTTTTAAGTAATTCATTTGCATTTTATTGCATCACCTACCAACCAGTAAGAATTATGGCTCTCACAGACCTGTTAAGTTAGCTTCTCTTTAAGAAGCCCTCCTGTTCTCCACTCATTGCCTGTATTAACTGCACATGTTTAACCCAGTCATTGAATCACTCGAAGGAAACACCACTACCGTGTTGCTCAGAGACGCTCAACTCATTGGCTTCATTTAGATCTGGAGCAACAAAAAAAAAAAAAAAAGACAGTAATTGACAATATTGTCTTTAAAGTGCTAGTACTTGATATCAACTTATTGTTTACAGAACTGTGTACTTTGTCTGAATGTCTACATTGCTACATCTGATGCCTTGTCCCCAGTCCCTTCATAATGTTACTTTTCTTTTAACGGTGGTCTCCACCATGTTTTACACAGAGCATGTGTCTAATTACAAGAGCAAAATAGTCAATTAGTCAATTACAATTAGTCTTCAATTACTGTGTAACCGCCCTTCATGCCAACAGTACAGCAGACTTGTGCGTGTAGAATCAATTTCCATATTCAGACACTGGGCTATGTTCAATAACCCACAAGACATGAGAGGGTAGTTAGTCTACACTCTTTGCTGTTGTATATGACCCATTCTGGGTTTAGTCTTGTCACATTGTTTACAATGTGTCACTGACACCATGAAGGTGTTTAATGTTTCAGGTCATTTGTCGCTTAACACTGTATAAGCAGGAAGAGAGAGAGATTTGTGGTTAGAGCAGAACCCCTCCTGGACTCAATTCCTGTCTGAAAGGGCTGGCCAAACCTTTCTGAATAAAATCCAGCCAGTTTCACCTAGAGAAATCAATCTCAGTGGTGAAAGACTTTCTTGCAGGACGCATGTTAATCTGTCTCGGCTGTCCTGCAGCAAAATCATGCGCAAAACAAAAGCATTCGAAGAAGTAAACACAAGTGTGTGGTTGGTGTTGATGTTTTGTCTAGAAGTCTTTGTCAGTTTTGCTTAATTCAATCTTGAAGTCAGTCTTGGTTAATTCATCTTAAGTTTCTGTTTTTGATAAAGCAGGGTTCCAGCAGGGGAATTGATTTTTAACCTGCCGTCAAGTTCAAGCCATCGACCTGCATATTTTCCACAACCTGCATTTTTATAATAAAATAATATTGTTAAACAGCCAAATTCAGCAAAGCATTTCCCATTATACTGCAAAAAAATCTCCACCAATCAGAGAATCTTGACCAGCAAATTGTTCCAAAAAACAGTTTGTGTGTGTGTGTGTATATATATATATATATATATATATATATATATATATATACACACAAACTTACATTCATTTATTTTTTATATTTTATAAATATAAGCTTTTATGTTAGATGCAATTAATAATTTTGACAGGACTAATATATATATATATATATATATATATATATATATATATACATACATACATACATACGTGTGTGTTACATTATCTTAATCTTCTGAATTGCACATTTTCTTTTGTCAGCTTGCCTTTTTGAATTGTCTCCTGTTGATGTTCACAGTTCATTTAAAGATCATTTCCTCTCTTTGAGAGACTCCAGAGCCACTTACTCTATACCATACACTCTATTATATCTTGTTAGGAAAATAATCCTCTCAAAATAGGCCACTTCAGGCACGAGAGTCATCGATTATCTTTACATACAGTAGATTGATTGCATAAATCAGTACAGTCAGGTTGCAGCTGGTTACACTAAGTCCAATTCCCTGATGGAGTTTTTCCTCCTAAGTCATATTTCAGTGAATTAAACTCCACAGAGATCTTTTTTTAGTTTTATTTGTTTTCCAACCCCTCACATTCCTCCTCCTTCCTCGGTTAAGGGCAAAAGATATAAGTGGTTGGTGACGTAATGCATTCTCAACGGGAGGACAAACATCTTAGGGGTTAATGCACCATGGTGAAATGTTAAGAGTCAAAGCCTTATAAAGAAAAAAGGTAAAAGCTTTATCATCTCCAGAGCGCATGCAGATAGAGACAGGAATTATAGCTAAGCTGGTCCTTCTGTAAACAGACTGTTCATTAATGGACAGTGGGAATGAAGTCAGACCACATTAAAATTCTGTCATTTTCCTTCAGGAAACTTTTTAATGTTTTAGAATTTGTAATAATAAATAAAAGTAATGATGTAAAATGAAGAAATACTTAGTTTGGGGGCTGAGAGACCTAGGATCTTTCCAATAGCTCAACACAAACACACGGAAGTATGGTGAAAAAAAAAAAGAAAAAAAAATGTTATTTTTGGTGTCTTAGTGAACTTTAAAAGCTATAAAATATGATGCAATACATTTTCACATACTACCATTCTCTGACTGGTGTACACACAGTAGGACAACAAAAACTTTTTTCTCATTATTATTCAGCTCAACAGGAGGAGAATCTTGAAACCCCTGGATATTGGCCTCATTTTAAATGTGTGATTTCTAGACCTGGAAAAGTCATGTAAATTAATAAAATCCTCAAACTCCATATGATTTTTTCAACTGGATATACATTTTTTAAGGGGGTAGAAACAGTTAGTAAAAAAAAAACACTACAGAACCACTACAGTTTCAGTTGCATCATAATTATATTATTGGAAAAATAGTGGTTAATTTCAAAGTAAATTAATTAATCATTTTATTTTATTTTTATTAAATGTTAAAAATCTTTTTCTAGGTCTCTAATCAAATTTGTAAGTATGTAAACCCATTTAACTGTAGGTAAGATTACTTAATATTCTACTTCAGTGCAAATGAAGGTATATTTTAACAAGTGGTCTTTCTTAAAACCCGTAAGAACCAGTGGAATCAGATGTGGTGTAAACAGTGCTGCAGGACTTGTACATGCAAAGAATGAGAACACCCCACTGGTCTCCGTCAAACATAGAGCACAGCTCCAGCTGTCAGACACTGGGAATCAATTGTTCTCCCTTTGCTGATACATCCTGCCATGTGTGCACGCATGGCTTTTGTCATTTACCTCTCTGGCTACGTGCTAAAGGATGTGCTGAACCTGCTCTGGTGGACATAACTACAACCAGATGTGACAGGCCAGTTAAATTAGACACCTTGGCTGGCTCTCTTCCTTCAGGGCATGCAAAGGTAAAGCAAATGAATCTTGAGTGTGTAGAGATAATCCAATGTCTGTCCTCTGAGTAAGGCTGAGCAACAGTGATCTACTACAAGGTATTCCTGCAGTACAGAGAGGTCATTCAGAGGACAGCTTCGGGAATATGACTCTGATTAATAAATATGTTTATAACATTTAGCTTGACTAAAGGAAGTTTAATGGTATAAATGTCCATAAGGAAGTGTCGGCTTAGATTTGAAATCTCATTTGCCTGTGATGTGCAATGCCCTTTTGTCATTTCTGGGTCACTGCTTAGGCTCTAGCTTTCACCATGCAAGCATCAGAGGATACAAAAATAAATGTACATATTATGTTATCGAGGCTTGTCAGATCAGTGCTTTTGTCAATAGTAGTTTTTACCATCTGAGATCGATCGCTAAAGTAAAACATTTTCTTTCCCATATTGACTTGGAAATTGTGTTTCCAATCCCATATTGACTTGGAAACACTCACTTATTTCATCAAGGTTAGACTATTGTAACTCACTGTACATTGGTCTGGCCCAAGCTGTGTTATCCCGTCTACAGCTTGTCCAAAATGCAGCAGTCAGGCAGTTAATGGGTCCAGGTGAAATTCAGGGTTTGTTTTAAAATTCATTATTTGGCATTATTTGGTCTTGCATCCGAATATATAAGAGACCGTTTTACACCCTTACTTTCCAACCAGAGCGCTCAGGTCATCTGACCAACTGCTACTGAAGGTTCCTCATTGCCATTAGATTTAGATCTTTTTTTTTGTTTTGTTTTTTTGTTTTCAGAACATATTTTTCATGGAAATGGACTGTAAAATTGGTCTCAGAATTTGCAATCATTTCAAGATGTTACCTGTATTGTTTATTCTTAAAAGTTCAGAATCAGTCCATTGCATTTTAACCCAAGCAAGAGCCACCCCCCCCCCCCCAAAAAAAAAAACACGTTAATGTAAACAGTCTTGCAGATTGTATTCATCTTTGTATATTTGAGCTGTGTACGAGTTTCAACGAGTCATCTATCACTAGAACTAAACACGTTGTTCTGTTCTGTTTGGGGTCAAAGTCTGTGTCAAAAAACAGCTTCAAAACAGAAATATTGTATTTGAATGTATTTTTGGCATAAATAGTAATATTTTGAAAAAAGCGATTGGGGAAAAAAAACTAAATTACTGCCAAAAAAGTTTACAATTTCTTCTGTTTAACATATTTTTGCAATTAAAAAACTACTTTGCTTCTGCAAATTATATGCACCCAGAGTCATTATTCAAATATAATAAAATAAAAAATCTCGCAAGGAGGGAAATTACACTGCTACGCTCCACTTGTATGACAAGAACTCCTCACCCGGGTCATTAGCGCTCAATGCTGCCAAGCCACGAGGCACTGGATGGCTGCTGTTCTTAAGTCCCCGTTTCTCCAGATGTAAACAGAGAATCTTCCCCAAACATTGCCTTTTTAAGACTTCTCAGCAAGAGCTAGGGGGCGACCTCTTCTGCCACTCGCTGAAGCTGATGAAGGGCTCCGCGAACGATGCCTCACACAGACACCGCGTTGTCACGATTCTACACTTCAGTCCCCCCACTCTTGTCTAAATTTAGTCTTTCCTGAGCATGGGTCTGGAGGAGACAGCCGCTCTAAACATTAGTCTCTGCAGACTC